TTCTTTCTCGCAATTTCCAATTTTTTTAAAAAATATTTATTGCAAGAATTCGTGTCTCAGGGGTTTTTATGGATTTTTCGAGGCTGTTTTTTCGATTTTCAAGATTTAAGAATTGAAGAATCGAAAAGAGTTGAAAATTTGTGGTGAAATTTGTTATTAATTCGATTCGTTCACTAAAAGTGAAATGAGTTTTTATCAGTAGTGTTATAAGTTTAATAAATTATGCAAAGGTGGGTAGATTATTAAAAGATAGCTTACAAGTCGTTCATAATTATTAATTAATCGCAGTTTTTAAGTTTTTATTCGATCTAAATGTTGAAAGAGGCAATTAATATTATAGAAAATTTTTTTTTGTCCCATTAATATTCACTTTTCAAAATCTATTAAATATATCTATTAATATATATCTATTAAAATAGTTTTTGAAAGACTAAAGTAAATCGAAATGGTAGTCAAAAATTCTGTCTCGGTGCAAGATAGTCAAGTAATATGCTAAAAGGAAGTCAAATTCGATTCGATTCCATGAGCATAAATGAAGTTGCCATTAAAACTGAAACCTGGTTGATGCTGGGGTTGTATTTCCAGGGGATTCGTTGCTCAAATGAACCTCCGGAGAAGAAAACTCAAATAGCCAGCGAAGTTAGAAATGGTGAACACGATTAGAAGAATAAAAGAAAATTCTCTCAGCAAGTGATTTAAGATTTTAAAAGTTGATTCACGATTCACTGCGATTTTTTAGCATATTTTTTGATATTTTATTCAAGCAATTTTTTAATTGCGAGTTCTTTTTTTTGTTTTTCTTCGTGGGCATTAATTTGCAACAACATCTGCTCGGATATTTAATAAATGAATTCTTAACTGTTACATAATACAACTAAGATTATAAACTTCAGTTTGTGATTGATGATGCTTGTTTGAGATTTTTGTATAAATTAATAATTATTGAAAATTAAGCTGCAAATAAATGATAATGATGATTATGTATCATAGTTTTCGTGCAAAACATTCGACATTTAGTAAACCTATGAATTATCGTTAAATAATCTTTGTGGAAAAGAATGTGAAGCATAAATCATTCTTCGCTCATACTGATTCACAAATTGGTTTTTTTTGTTTTTTTTAAGAGTGGCACAAAATTGATAAGGAAAAAAATGCGAAATGAAAAAATGAATTTTTTCGAAATGCAATTTCGTTTTCATTTTTTGAATATTTGTTTCAGCTAACATTTTTTAAAAATTTTAAAAATTATCTTAATTAATAGTATATTAATATTGTTAGAAAAAAAATTTTCGATGGAAAATGAAGGAAAATCAAATTTTTTAGACTCTGAATTTGATGCTTAGATTATCAACTGAAACTTCATGGTTCAGTCATGGTTCAGTTATTATTGTTCCTAAACCTTAAAGATATTATAAGAATTTTTCTTCTGAAATTGTTCAGTGATAACCATTTTTTTTAAAGAGCGCTTACCATTTCTTATTATTTAATTAGGCTCGCTCCGCTGATTTGTCGCAACAAACAAATTCTGCCAGCGTCATTTGATGAAAATGGAGATGAGTCATCTCCAATTTACCCAACAGCATTACCCAGATTTTTGAAGGTCCGGTTTACCGGAATATGATTTCAGATTCACCACTCTGAAATAAGACCACTGAAATATGCTACTCCTTAAGAAATGGTCAAATAATTATAGTTAATAAAGAAAATTTATTTACACCTTTTTTATAGATTTCTAATCGTACTTATCAATCGAGTTTTCGATTATTTTTATTATGTTTATTATGATTATCTTATGTTTCTTTTTCTATAGTTAATTGGTTTAATCAAAATATTTGTGAATATTCATTATTTTTCAAGATTTGGATTGTAAAAATATTAAAACTTATTTTATAATCAATTTTCCATGCACTTTATCAATCCTGCTTATAAATATTCTCTATTTTTTTATTATTATTATATTTTTATTATATTTTAAACTCCTCATTGTGTCATTTGATCTTCTCATCGTTTCCAAAATAAATGTTAAAAATATTAAATATTAAAAGATTAACATTTCTAGTTAAGTTGGGCCTGTTGCTGGTTAATGCGGTTGGAAATTTTTACCAGGGAATCACATAGCAATATAAATATAAGTGGAACGCCAGCACCACCTGGATTTTCCAGTTACTGGGAAACTGCTCCCGGAGCCAGATGTTTTACCTTTGTATCTCAAGATAATGTAATCTGAGTCGCTATCTATTCGGCTATCCTGCCCTTTTCTTTTTTTCCTGCACGAACTGCCAAATCAGTTAAAAAATTAACTAAAAGTGACATTTTAATTGAGATATCAAATATTTTTGGTTGATGATTTTGAACCGATTTTGTCAATAGATCGACAAAATTTTGCTTGAAAAAAAAAAATTGATCCAATTTTCATTGCATAATAAAAAATTATTTGAAACTATCTCTGGCTTTTCATTTGACAACCCAATCATTTACTCCACTTTTTGAATATCATTTGCTATTTATTTCACGTTTGCTTTTATGCCTCATTTAAAATATGTAAAGATAAAAAAAAGTGATTTGAGAGTTAATTGATGGCTTGACAAAAGCATCTGATTAAGTAGAACTAATATTTTTCTGCAATAAAATTTTCGGAACGGTAATTTTTTATAAGGAAGAGGAAATAACCCTCTTTCTTTTTGTTCTTAGAGGACTGATCATTTCTGTTTTTAACTGCCCCAATTATTCAGATGGATCTTTCTGTAGGACTAATAAAAAATACAAATGGGACCTCACCCGGACTTCACTTTTAACGAATAGTTTGCGTTCTTCAAGAATAGAAAAAAAGGATAAAATGAGACCAAATCCGTAAAATCTATCTGAATAATATACATAGCGATATAAAGAATAAAAATAGAAAGCTCACCATCCTCGATTAGAAAAACTTTACCGAAGATTAATATGGTGTGAAATTTTTGCCAATCACTTGAGGATAGGCATAGGTGGATCGCCAGCAGCATCTGAGATTTTTTAAATGCAAATTTATTCCTAGAAGGATTCTAATTCTCAAGGTTAACCTGATTAGCAACGATCCGGGCATCTTGGCTATTCAATATTTTTTTAAAAAAATCGAGAATATTAGTTCGCAAAAATCATTCTCCCAAATATTTTCTTATAAAAATTTTTTTAAATGAAAAATCGAATTTCTCTATCATGTTGTTGTCCTTTTTTTATTATTCCACGAACATTTGTCTTTTCATTGATTATTATTCCTTGTAAATTTCATTTATTTCTGCTTCACTTTCTTATTCATTTTCATTTCATTTTTCAATTTTTTTGAATTAATGAATTTTTTTATCCGATTCATTTTTATTGTTTATGATTTGCAGCAAATTGTAGTACTTCGTCGGTTCGCTTTTCCCATGTTCTTATGTAGCTTTTTATGTGTCCAGCTTATTATAAATTTAAATTTCCTCTATATAAAAATTTTTTTGAACCGTAGGAAGCGTAATTTTTTTCTTAATAATCTTTGTTCTTTTTATTTATCATTTAAAATATTACGTTTAAAATTCTCCAAACACAGGTGTATTTTTATCTTCAGTGATCTTTTTGTTACTGAATTTTAGCTTAGTAGTCAACCACACTAAACCAGAAATGATGAATGGTGAATGAGGAGATATTTTTTAAGAACATTTCATCATGACCATAATTTTATGGATTATTTTAATATTTTCTTCCATCCTAACAATAAGCTATTGATGAAGAAGGAACAAACAAATCATTTTGGCTCCAGAATGTCGTCAATCGATTTGATTGGCAGATTTTGTCAAAAAAAGGCAAAAAATAATTATGAGATATACAAATATATCCATTTGAACTATCATTTCTCACGCTAAGTATACAGTAGATTATGATGTGGGCGTGGTCTATTATTTATCCAATTCTGGATAGTTACTATGATTCGTTCTACAGTAAGCATTAAATTACCCTTCGAAATCAATCAATTTGTAAAAATTTACCATTAAAACAAAAATATTTCTTGGATATATCCATAAAATTTCCAAGTTTTTACTCGCAAGATCAAGTTTAAAGGCATAATTGGTTGGCTATTATTATTCATCCGAATTCCTTTTTATTGACAGTGGTTTGCACTTTTTCATATATTTCTTATTTTTTCCGATCATCCAATAAAAATATAATTTATAAATGGTTAGACTATCATTTCTGATGGTTCGCTTCTCGTGGGCCCTTGGTTGTTATGATGGAAGTTTAACATGAAGTCGTTTGGCATAGATTCATCAACTCCACTTTTTTTATGGTACAAATACTTACTTAGTAGCACGATAATCTGCACCACTCAACATTCGGAGAAATTTAGAAATAGGCTGTTATTAACAGAATGATGGTACCAAAGATTGAAGAATTCATCAACCGTTTCAAGACAATAATGCCTAAGATAATTCATCGAAAGCAACCTCTGTTCGTATTTATAGTCCTTTCTGCTGGTTAAGTTCTATAGCATGATTTTTTAAATTTTAGACTAATTTTATTCTAGAAAAATAATAAAAAAAGTTAGCAATAATATCGATTTATGAAAAATCAATATTCGATTTTTCAGAAATCTTTAGGGGGCGTTGAAGACCTTGCCCGAACAAATAGTGCACAGTAGAAGAACGGGTTTCACTGGTTATACTTTCCATTTTGTCATTTTGCTTCTTTTGAAGAACCACATTATTGCATCATTCACTTTAATCCCGACTTCGTCCAGTTCGTCATTTCTAATAAGAATTTGTCATTTGTGACCTTCAAATAGGATTATTTTTCATTCTATACATGGATGTTTATACTATTAACAACATAGTTAAGATTTTTTTGCTATTTGATTTCTGGAATTGGAAATGTCAGTTGTGCAATATTATCAAATTTATGGAAAAATCACCTTATCGATTTTTACAACCACTTAAATTGTAATTTATTAATGAAGAAAAATTTAACTTTTTTTCAGGTGAAGTGCCGAAATGGCGTCAGCCAAAAAGCGCGTGGAAATGGCTTTGGCGTCTAAAGCGAAACTACAAACTGCACCACATGTTCAAATAAACACTCATGTGGATGATCCTCAGAAGTCTCTTGAGGAGCTATTTACTGCAGGAGTTCGTACTCATGAGAAGAAATTATATGAACGTAGAAAGGTTGGATTTTTCTGATAATATAGAGTTTCAAAAATTCGAAGCATATTCAGTTATGCCAATAAAAAAATGATAAATTACAAAGTAATGATGGTTTATTTTTCGGTGCACTAAACTTTAGATCTTTCAAAGAAGAATGCACTTGAGATTCAATGTAAGAAGATCACCTTGAATTTTTATATAAATTATAGAACACTCCGAACAGCATACCTGTCTCATTTAATCAAAGACCAGTTTCGATTAAATCAAGAGGTTCATCAGCTGGACATTCGCGTGAAGGATCAAGTGATGATGGAATCGGTTCAAGTGGTCGTCAGACTCTTAGTCCAAGTTCTGTTTCATCAGCTCATTTTAGTGGACCATATCAAGGATCAGTTCATACTCGACAAGGATCGGCTCCAGCTTTAATTAATTATGGCAGCGTTTTGGAGCAACAGTCCAAGTGAGTGCATTTTTCTATTTGTATTTCATTAGCCTTTTAATTTCTTTTCCAGATTTATGTGAAGAAATATTAACCTTATTTTTTTTAGAAAAATTCATTTATTTTTTTTAGAAAATTTGTTTTTTAGTCGACCACCACCAGCTCCGATACATACGACTTCAAAATCATTAAGCGTAGTCACCATGTCCGATGCAAGTGATCAGTATCTTTCCACCACCCATAGAGCAGCAAAAAGTTGTGACTTAGATGCTGAATCCAATCGTCATTTAGAAGTCGGATTCACACCTGAAGGGCAGCCATTTTATATCGAGTCTGTTTTTTGTTACCAGTGTAGTAATATTTTATGTTAAATATGAAAGAGTTACAAGAAGATTTGCCAATCTAGATATTCCACCATAAAAAGAAGTAAGTAGGTATTAAGTTCATTTAGAAAAATGCAATATGCCCCTTATTCCATATAATCATTAGTGAATGTTTCAAGCTCTATTTTTTCAATTTCTGGTTTAGGGTGATAATCCTTCATTAGATAATCGAAAAAATCGAGATAAAAAAATTTGGTCACAAACACTATTTGGTCTCATTTATGGGAAAATTAATTATTTGTCTTAATTTTGAGCATAAACTATAGCTTCTATGTTTATAAATATTATCAATAAAAACTTTGTGATAAATATTTGGTTTCTAATAAAAACTAAAGGGGATAGGAATTCTTTACCATTTTTCATGAAGAATAAGCACAATTTTTTTTTAAATTCTTTCAATAAATAAAAAAATAAAGATTTCCAGTCATCATCAAAAAATTACATACTGGAGCGATCCACGAGCAAAAAGTCAATCATTAGACCCGATAGCTTTGGGGATAAATACTAACCCGGTGATACAACAGCAATCGCTGTTACCCACACCGATACAACAAAATATGTGCCAGGTTATTTCTCCATTTTTCTCACTTGATCCACTAATAAGGATGATGACATATATTGTATATAGGCACTTAAAACATTTAATTTTTGTTTTTTATTTAATTTTAAAATTTACTTTCCGATGTTAAACTTGATATTTCCAGTTTTTTGCAGGATTCCGATGGTAATCTTGGTCCTTTGCCTGATGGTTGGATGAAAAGTTACGATCACAATGGTGATCTATATTTTATTGATCATATTAATCAAACTACTACTTGGTATGACCCGAGAATCCGTAAGTTTTGTAGTTAAGTATTCATAAGTTAGTGAATTTTGTGGCTAATCCTGGTTCGATATATGCAGATATATTATGAATTGGTCAAGATTTCAAAATTTTAGCCCATCATTTGCAAGAAGAAAAAATTCGGCAAAGGCATGGACGGCCAAATATCGATCAATTGAAGCGAACCATGTTTGATAATTCGCAAGTAATGATAATTTCAGAACGCTACGCTTTGCTTTATTTTTTAATATTCCCTATGATCACTATTTTTCTGATTATCACTGTGCGCATCCATCTTTTTCTTCTAACAAGTCCACTAGCTAACTGAGATGCTTCCAAGCCTCTCGATCCTCTGCTATATCTGAAAATAACTGCCACTCCTTTTACTACCATTTAAAGCATATAACCTATTTATAGATCTATTTATTACAAATTTCCTTAAATCGATTTTATTTAAAAAATGAAAACTGCTTTGATTTGATAAAATATTTGACGAAATTGAGATTTGTCAGGACACTTCATCATCTCTTGTTCAACAACTGCAAATTGAGCGTAGAGGAATGCAAGAACGGCAAGAGCAATTGTGCAGAGAGGTAATTTTATTTTTTAATCTTTTTAGAAATAAAATTCTCATTTTATCATTACTCGGACATCGATTTCTGGCACTCTAATTTTATTTAGTTGATATTTTGATCTCTCATAAACGATAGTTGTTTCTTAAATTTGTTTTTAACTATTTTTAGCAACAAGATTTATTTTGCCGTTCAATTGTAAATTAGCCGCAGTGTTAATAAGCTTTTTTTTAATGGTAAATGACTATATTATGACTATATCAGAAATTTTTATCAGAGTCATTTATCGATAAAAGCATAGATGACTTGTTAGCATCATCCGAATCTTTCAATGGCAGGATTATTCTTGCTGGGAGCGAGATCCAAATCTTTCCCTGTTTTCTCGCATTTCTATATATTTATAAATTCATCCGAGTTTTTTTTCGCTAACTCTTCGCTATATGTCGAAATATTTTGGTTTGATTAATGAAACTACTAAATGAAATTACTGGAAAACTAATCGGTGTGGTTATTTATGCCAAAAATCTTTGTAACCTACAAATCTTTTATCTTTTCTTTCAGTGGACGATCTGTTAAAGCAAAGTGAAACAGTCGTTCCACTTGACCGATATTCACCTTAAGTTGCTTTTCTTGAGGAATGAAATGTTTCCATTAATTTTAACTTTTTCTCTTTCTTTATCGTTCTCTATCTTTTTTCATTCAAATATATCGTAATAAAAGAAATGGAATAAAATGGCTGAATAAATCAATGAAAACATTCGCCTTTATTCACCAAAAAACAATTTGCTATTGAATAAAGAATGAATTAGAAAGAAAATATAATCAAATACGATACGGCTTACAATTCAAAATACTCATTTCTCAAGAGATTTATAAAATAATTCTTCAGAAATATCAATATATGGTACAAATAATTCGTAAAGCAATCATTCTTTATTTATCTCTGCAATTCACCCCTTTCTTCTACTTCTAACCATTTTTGGTTATGCTGGTATTAGAATGAATCTATTTCATCAATCAAATCATAAAGATTTGGACGCAAAAAGCGGCACTCTGATTTTGCTTTTAACGGTAGATATAGCTCCAATGGGCCAGCAAATAGATTCTGTATGGTTGTACTAAACTAGATTGTTCAAAATATTATAATTTTAGGCTAAATTTGAATCCAACAAGAACTAATGGGCTAAAATTACTAAAATTACTAAACTTATGTGCAAAACTAAACTAAGGACTCATGACTTCTTTATTCGTACTATGAATTACTAAAATAAATTACCGAACGATATAGCTTGTGCTTCATCCTTAGATATTTTTAAAAAAGATTGGATAATATCATTTGTATTATTATAATATTATTTGAAAGGTTCACATCATGCATAAAGTGTGAAATCTCGATTTTTACCATCTGATTATTTATAATACAGTTACTTCGAATTGTACTATAATATAGTACAATTGAATCGAATCGAATTTTTGTCATATTTTCTTTTTTTTTATCATTAATTATTATTATTTGATTTTTTTAATAGCCCTCGCTATTACTGGTTAAACTCGCTTCACTGGCTTATCACATTGAGTAATATGTCAGGGAGTCCCTTAGCGATAGAAATGCAGGTGATCGCGAGCATCACCCAGATTTTTGTGCAGGCTTATTTCTGCGCTCATGCTGGGAATCGAACCTCAGCGTTGGCGCTTCCAGCTGACCAACAACCCACTGAGCCATTTTATCCTCTAATATATGGCGTTTGTCGTCCTGTTTGACTAGTTTTAAATGAATAAGGAACTGGTTTACCATTTCTGGTTAGGCTAATCTCTCTATCCGTTAGTATGGTTGGAAATTTTTGCCAGAGTCATTTGGCTAGAAGTTTAGGTGGTCACCAGCACAATTTTGACTTTAAAGGTTTTTTTTGCGGAACAGTTGAAATTGCTTATTTCTAGGAAAACTTTATAAAGTAAATTTAGTTGATTTAGTTAGTCGTAGCTAACGGTTTTTCACGGTGCTTTTAAAAATTATTTTTTTGCCTTTTTTAATCTTTCATTTTGTATATCTCATACAATCTTTAATCGTCATTGTTTTTCCTCATGCTTCTGCGAATTTATCTTCTGACCGATGACTGATTGATTGGAACGGGTTAAGAGTAGTACCATAAATTTTTAGTTCAAACTTGTATTTCCATTTCACGCCACTGGACCTCACGCATCACGAATTACAAAGTGTTTTTAATTTTGTAATTGTAATTTGATCCTGTTTTATTTGTTAATGTATAAATCAGCCCGGTATTTTCACGTAAATTTTAGTTTTACAAGTTCCAAAAGAATAATAAAAAAAATTTAAAAAATTGGGAAAGATGGTTAGACTTAAAAAAGAAATATAGAAAATAAATAAATCCATTAATTCTTATAGATTTAATCGAAAACCATTTTTATCCTATAAGCAACGATAATGGTTTTCCATTTGTTTGCTCCGCTTCCCTAGCCTCGCTCAATTTTTTAAAAAAAAACGATCAGTCCTATTCCTATAAATTTACTTTACATAATGGAATTTATTTAATGGTTTTAGCTTATCTGGAATATCATCCTTCGTTAATTAGTCAATTAGTTTCAATTTAAAACCTACTGCATTGAAGTACCACGAACGAATGTAAAAAATTACCGTTTAATCAGGCATTTATTTTTGATTTTGAAATTTCTTATAATTAACAAAAGAATAAATAAAATGTCTATTAGATCTATATTTATAACCGAATAATATTCTAATACAGCAGTTATTACTCGAATAATCAATTTGTCAAATATTGAACATTCCAGTTTCTTTAAAAGAAGGCACTTATCTCTTTCCAATTTGAAACCTAATATTTATTTTAACAATATCGCGGACATGAACATGAAGAAATGGATATTTGCTCGGTCATAAAATTACATCAATTGATTTCAAAAATTTAAAACTGATTGCTTTTTATAATTTAAAAATAATTTTGTTTTAGGGATTAATTGAGCGACACTGGCAAAATTCACAACAATACCCAGTAACTTTGCCTGAGATGCAACACCCAACTGATATGTCTCAAGTAACCTTTTTAAGAGTCTTTGAAAGTTTTGTTGTTGGTTAAACAAAATTCATCCCAATATTGCTTTTTGTAAATTTTGAAAACGTGAACTTGCTAATTTAAAGTTTACCACAAAGTTTAACACAATTTATTGAATATTTCTCGTTACCCGAAATTCTGACAAATTACAGCTATGAATCTATGAAACTTAAAATGGTTTAGACAGTCGGTATTCAGTAAAAGACATTTTTCTTCTATTTAACGGATGACTTTTTTTCGTTTTTACACTAAATTTATTTCCAGATGACCAACTATCCTACTTATTGTCTTCAACAGACACAGCCACTGCATTCTGATCTTCTTGCAGCCAATTATTTCGTTCACAATGTTCGTTCCTTCGATTCATGTTGCTTTTTTTCTGCTTTAAAATTCATGCGCAAAAAAATTCACTTCAAGATTATGTCATCTTCTACAAATCATTTAAAATACAAATAAAAAATTTTAAAAAGGCTTCGAATCTTGAGCGCTTGCATCTCCGTTCCACTCTATTATTTTTTCGGCTATTTGTGGAACATTTTAGAATTTTTGTAAACAATGAGCTAAATTATTTTCTAAATTTAACTATGCACAAAATAGAAGAAAAAACAGTAAAAAGAGATAAAATTATTATAAAAATAAATTTAGCTTAATTTTTTTCAAAATAAGCTTTGCTTTTTCAAATTCGTTTTTCTTTTCCATTTTTAATTTCCATTTCATTTTTTTTAATTTCATCTCTCTGTTTTTGATCTATTATCATATTAAAAATTGGCTACTCGGAACGCACCGGTAATTCTTCCCCGAATTGCTATATGGTGAAAAGGTCTTGATACTCTCAGCCCCGTGGTTCTTTCGACAAGTATATCATCCGGTTTCATTAAAGCGATCTAAACGCTTGAGAATTATGTTCTTGAGCCAGGGTAAACTGCTCGAAACCTCTGATAAGCAGGAGACATTCATATGATATTTAAAGTGTGGGCAGTGGTCCCTTACTTTGGAACCTCGTTAAGCGTTCCTCCATGCTGCTATGGCTAAGAACTCACTGCATGGAGTTCAGAGAGCCGGATAATTGATAATTTTCCTCGAGAGGTTTATCTTCACTTCATTACTTCGGGCCAAAGGTACAAAGGTATTGTGGGTCATTCTGGTGTTTCGAATACTTCGAAGTAAAATGGATGGCAAATGTCATGACATCTCTGGAATGGCATATGAATATATAAAGTCTTACTTTTAATTATTGGCTATTTCCATGCTAGGATACGTTAGGATATGTTACTAGGAAATGCATTAATTGAGTACCTGAAGCAAGTGTTCAATTGTCCGAAAAAATTACCAAAGCAGAAAATATCAGGAAATCCTGGCTACTGGATGCTTCAAAGACAACGACAGCTGGAGAGAGCGACAAAAATCGCTACTGGAGCGATATGGTTTTGGAAATGGATACAGTGGCTCGATTAGACAATAATAGGAACCATTCTGCCTTCTTCATAAAGCAACTGTAACTCGATGAACGCTTGAAACGATAAGGAATGGTAATAATGTGCCTCCGTCTTGTAAGGTAGAAGGGATCTTTTGAGGCCAAATTTAACCATGTTGCGCCAGATATAGCTGAACCGCTCATTGAGCGTATATTTGGAGCTAGGAACAGCAAGCGGAACAGGAGCTTAAGGCCAATAAAACTTCCGGAGAAAAGATTCTGGCCGAAATCTTTTAACAAAATTGTGCCTTCATAATACATTCTCAATAAATGTATAAAAAAAAGAAAAAATAGCAAATGATTTGGGCAATTTTGCTGCCATTTTCTAAGAAAGAAAGACATACTGCGACAAATCGAGGAACCAGCCTACAAAATATGTGCCGGAAAATTTTCTATTCCCTGCCACTAAACAGATTCATATCAGTGCGAGACAATAGGATGCGCCCTAACAAGCTGAATTCAGACCAGATCGCGGTTGTGCTGACAAGATATTCACGTTAAAGGAACAGCTCTTCAAATATCTGCAACCGGCATCGTCACATGTTTTATCGATCCTCTTTTCTACAATATTCAACAGTATATAATATGCGATAGACTAGATAATGGACATCGCTTGTTGGCAAGAGTTGTTCTAATCAGTCCAAAGC